CCGGGGGTGGGCTTGGGAGGGCCCAGCAGCCCCTTGGCCCTGGGGCTCCCGGTGGAAGGGTTCCGGGTTGTCTGGAGCAGGGTCACGGGAGTGCCATGGTGGGAGTGATGGCAGAATGGATGCCTGCCTGGCAGCTAATAAAAACTTGTCCTCTGGGAAATTCGGATGCCACACCTGCGCTTTGCCCTCTGGTGTTCCTTCCTCTCCTACCTTGTGAGGGAGTTCCAGCCAGTGCTTCCCCGGGCCACTGCACAGATCCCTTTTCCCTTATTATTCCAGCCGTCGGATACGGCTGCTGTTCCCGCTGCTTTCTCACTAGCCCCGACGAGGAACAGCCTGATTCTTCCTTGAGCGTCTGGCACACTTCCCCTTCCCTGCTTGCCTCTCAGCAGAGAGCGTAGGCAACCACATGGCTGTTTCTCATTTCTTGCCCTCTTGATATTTAGGAAAATTGCAATTTGCTCTTTTAAAAATCCTGGTGTTTTTTAGTATAGTTCAACCAGTTTCTTTTCTCTGGATAATATAAAATCTGGTTATAGTTAGGATCTTAGTCCTTTTTGTGCCATTTAAGGTTTTGAATTTTGTTATTGAAACAAACCATCACCTTAAGCTTTTCCTAAGACTTCTAGAAAGGTTCTTTGCTTTGTGTCATAATTGCAGATGGACTATTAATCCAACTTTACACGTGTGTCCAAGAGTGTTTCTTACTGGTGTTTTGCTTTAGTATCAGTTTTTAACCCAAAACTGACTCTGGAGTTTGCGCCAGGCGGGGTCCTTTTATGTACCTGAGGTACCTAAAGCACCTTTTATGTGATGAGGATAAGAGTCTGCAGAGGCTCATCACAGAGCGTTTTGACCCTAACCTTTCACAAAGCGTGGCTTGTTGTCTGCAGTCCAACACGAGACCTTGAATCCTCCGGATGTAGAAGAAAGCGTTTGTGGACACGGGGGTGACGGGGCCTGCCTCACCCCACTCTGGGCAGCTTACGGAGCAGCAGCAGGGAAAGTTCATCTGTCAGTGTGCAGGTTCCGAAGAGGCGTTCAGTGCAGGGAGTGTATTTTCTAGCCAAACTAGTGCTCTGTACACGAAGTGAAAGGATTGACCTGGCCGGCCAACTAGATTATGGGCTTTTTTATTAGGAAGGCGTTTCTGGCAGTGTCCCCACGCAAACTGGAGGACATGCCAGACGGTGACCAAAGGAGGATGTTCAGCAGACACCCTGCCTGGGGCGGGTGGGCACAGCTCGCGGACACGCCCCAGAAGGCGGGAGGCGATTTCAGGAAGTGACCGCATCAGGGTCGCCCTGTTTCTCCGCTGCTGA